AAAGTTGATATGCAAATAAGTATTAGCTGTGTCCATCAATATCTCTGATTTTCTGCAGAAACACTTGGAGAAGATGGAAGAGCCCTCCTATGCTTGGCTGCAAATTGTTCCTTAGAGTTCAGAAACTAGCTTAAGATACTTACTATCCTGCTGTAGTAAGATGAGCATTTTTGGTTCCAAAGTACCAAATATTGGTCAGTACTGATGTAGATTTGACTTAATGCAGTCCCTTTCAGCAAGAACAAAAGGTTATTGCTTAGAAAGAAATACAGCTTTCTTTTCTTCCTGTTTTTGCCCATATTCCAATGTCCTTGCATCAGAAATGCAGGTCCACAGACTGTGTTTGTTCACTAGCCCATCAAGAACAACCCTTCCTCATCTCCCACAAGTCAAAGCACTTTTGGAAATCGAAGGTTTTAAAAGTCCTGTGTTTAACTATTTAACGTGTTGGCTTCACACACCAATACACCCGGTATGCCTGTTACACCACGCAGTGCTGCTAATTGCTTTTAGCAGGCTGGTGTAATGCTACAACCACAAGGGCCAAAGTATACCACTTAAAGACGATGCAAGAGCCCTGAAACGCTTTACTGCAAATTGTTCTCCAGAGATCTTTCAGAACCAGCAAATTCAGGCAACAACTGAGATGCTCTTAACCTCATCTTATCATCATAAGTGCTGCTAGGAGAAATTCTGCAAGTTTAACAAGATTCACCAGGAGCATCAGAATAGCCCATCCCTAGATGAGGAGAGCAGAGATGGTGTGACATGAAGGATGAGGGTCATGAATACTCGATGTGTTATCAGTAGGAGTAACTTAAGTCCCGGAGGAAATGCCAAACTCTCCTACAGGACATACACTTCCCTGCAATAAGTACTATCAGCATGACAAAAAACCCAAAATGTAAGATCATTTCCTTTTTTGTGTAATAAAGTCCACAGTGTTCTTATACCTACTTCCCTGCTTGCAGAAAGTTGGTTTCATAAGTAAAGGGACTGGATACTGTTTTTCTCCTCACAAGGATGGGGTCTCGACCTATTTTTAACAGCCAAATTTCCCTGACTACGTCAGCTGTCAACAATAATAAAATGGAAGCAAGTTACATATTCACCATCCTCAAGAAATCTTCTGTAGGAAAACTAGTGCGATACCGAAAGAAATCTCTCTCCATATACATATTAGCAAGCTGATTTTATGCCTCCCCACTCTCAGATTACACTCCCTCCCTCCCACATGCCTGAGTACCACGATGTTGCATCCACCACAGTTTTGCCAACAGGGAGAAATCTGCTTCTCTTGGCTTCCTGACATTGCTGGGGTTTTGGTTGGTGATAAAAACCTGAATTTTTAGAAAGATCTTTTACATCCTTTAGGAGTCAGTAATTGATACGGGGTGATCCTTTGTCTCAAAATCCCTTTGATTTCAGTTTCTGTAAGCGTTAGGTCAGGTTGTATGACAATTATCTGTTTTTCCTCATTTGCAATATACATTTGCTTTCCTCCAGAGCCAAGGGGAAATGAACAGCACAGGGGATATGCTGCCACTTCATTACAATTCTCCGGGTGTTAGGATGCAGTCTGCTGGCAACCAGTCCTCAGAGCTTTCCTTTTAGCCTTTTGGTCCTGACATAAACAACGCATTCCTCAGCTTTTACAGCTAGGAATGGTGCCCTTGGTTATCAACACAGCCCAGCTTTTAACCCTTTGTTCTGCCGTTTCCTCTGTCCTTACAACACACATTTCTATTCATCCTGCATTTGTATCAATCGCAGGATTCCTGTTACAAATCTCCACAATTCCACAGCTTTTTCAAATGATTAAAGAGTTCATACCTAGATGAGCTTAAAGGCTTAAGACCCTAAGATATCTTCAAGCTTTCATCTAGTCTTGTTCTTTGCTATAGGAAGGGGATGGAAAACAAAACACCTCGGTTTTTATCCTCTCGCCTCTGCCTCTAAATCCCCCACAGTATATATACACTACTTCAATCTGAAAAACTTATTGGGGATTTCACAACTAACAAACTGAAGTCTTGAAGCTCAGTAATTGGTAAAGAATAACGTATCAGAAGATGAACCTGTCTCAGAACAGGAGACAGGTTGGGGAACATTAAATAAACATGGATATAAAAAATAAAGCAAACAATAAAACGGACCACAAGCATAACATGAAGAGATGCATCACCTATGTAAAAAATCCCTTGATTTACACAATACATATTCATCTTACTTATGTTTGAACTTTAACTATTATTTTCATTTACCCACAGCTAAATATGCTCTCCACTAAGTTAAAGATTTTTTTTTTCTGTATAATAGGGCGCATGCAGACACACGCATAAACTTAGGAAGCACAAGGAAATTAAAGACTTCCATGGCTTTTTAGAATATTAGAAAACAGCTGATGATTATTTACAAAGTAGATTTTTTAAATTCAGAATTTGTATAATGTACTGAAGCATTAAATAGTTTAAAAGTGGGTATCAACTAAAGATAATACCTTAAATAGATTTGACTGTGCTTTAATGGCAGAAAAATAAGCTTTGCTCAAGTTACCTGTGCTTTGCTATCCAACACAATTAATTTTAACTCACCATCTCTCAAGATTTTTGAGATAATATACTTTACTGTCTCATACCTCAGTTTTTATACATACATGAAGCAAGAAAGGAAAAGAAAACTCAACTTTAACTTGTTGAATCAGCTTGAATTATAAAAAGGTCCACTTTAATAGCTACAAAACAGGCTTCTGCCAGGCAAAACTATCAGTCTGAAGTTTGGATCAAAAGACTTATTGTAGGTGAGCTCTTCTTCCAGTTGAGTACCACGATTTTTAACGTCTAAGGGAACAAAAAAATACAAATACTTTCAAATTACAACTACTGTAGCTACCAGCACTAACACTTTATATTTCAGAAAAAAGCCAGTGCCTACGCTGCCTATTAAGATAATCACTAAAAAAAAAAAACCTGTTTTAAATGGATTTTTAACTGTACTGTGTAGGACATGACCACTTGCTTGAGTGACTGACGGGTGAAGGCATTAGGTGATGCCTGCATTGGCATCTCCTTCTGTGTTAGTATCTAACTGCTCCAAAATTAGTATTTTTAGTGCAAAATCTGTTGCTTTCTTCTTCAGCCATACATTTCACCTCCTGCAGTACTGCAAGAAATCCCCATGCCTTTATTTACATCCAAAAATGGTGTACACACATCAAATGGGAGCCTAACTTTATCAGAGAAAGAAGGAGTTATTTCTGTTCGTACAATGCTCTTCATTCCCCTGCTCCAACACGAAGACACACGACCATTTACATGCTCAAGAACGTTTCAGTCTCTCTATCACACCTTTACTGCTATGGGCTTAGATCCTTGAGCTGCACTTTGAAGCTGTTGGTGACTTGCCAGAAAGACACAGGCAGCAGCACAAATCGGGCCAATGCACACATGTACCATCCCTGGTCAGCTCCAGCATGCACCGAAGACAGCAATGGCTTGCTGAATTTCACTGTTTTATAGTGGGCACTGCCCCCACCACCTGTTCCATGCAGTTGTCTCTTGACACACAGGTAGCTAAAATGGTATATTGCAAGAATTGAAGAGTTACACCTTGGGAAGGAAAGAATGACTTATTTTTTCTCCTCCAGGACAACAAAATAAGCTACTACTACCGTTACAGAAATCTAAAGAAAGAACCCACAACTGTTACATGTACTTCATAAAATCCTTTTTTACTCCAACAAGGTATGAAAAACTGTTACTATTGAATTTTAAAGCAGAAACACTGGTTTAAAGTTAGTAACTCAGGCTATTTCACAAGAAGTCTTATTGTAAAGGAAAGTCCCCGTTTCCAGAATCGCTCTTAGCATCCGTTTTTATATCAGAGCAAAGTCAAAAACATCTAGCCCACACATCTGCAGACAGAAATCCAAGCATATAATCCATAGAGGCCTGAAGCTAACAAAAATAATCTGTGAATGAGGTTTTAATTTTTTCCCCATGTCTTATTTTCTAGTGTCTGGGAACATGCATGTTGCTCGCACTGATGTTTAGTTTTCAGATTTTTCAGACTGACCCAGGTAGTCAAGGTTGCTCTGTAGGTAGTAAGAAGTTGAAGCCAATAGGATGATAATTTTCTCCCATGTTTTAAAGCAGCACTCGCTTAAAATGGCCCATTTAACTTTTCAGACAGCCCCTTTTATCTTTGCAACCTAGTATTTTGCAGTGATCTAAGCTTCAGGCCACATTTGCCTTGTGCATTCAGTAATTTTCTGGATACAACAGGATTAAGTTTGATCCTTAAAACAACACAAGTAGGTATGAATAGGTTTACCACTTTCTATTTTCAGGGATGTCTGCAAGAGAAACCCCCAGCCCTATGCAGCTTCATGAGAAATCACTCGGGTTTCTTCAAATCCTTCAAATTACCCCTCAGAAATACATGGGACAGGGGGGTTGGGTTATTTTTGTTTGTTTGTTTAAGGAGAGCAGGGAGGGGGGAAGCAAAGGGTAGAAGGAGAAAGGAAGGCAGCTGGCTTGCTGCTGGCTGGTTTTTACATCAGCCAACACTTCTGCTGGGCAACTCCTAGCGTGGCTACCAGCAGCATGTGGCAGATGAGACCTTTGAATGTTGTTTCCTCATTCCATATACTTAAAACCTCTCTGCTATGAACAATGTGACTACATAAACGTTTCCTAAACACATTGCATATGACCTCCAAAAATTGAAATGAGCTATCTGAATGCCCAATCCATCCAGAAAATGGAACGGGCACGTTCTGGTCAGGTCGGAGGTGTAGAACCCAGAACCTGCTCTTTGAGAGCTTGTGAGGCTGGCCTTTAAACGAGCTCCTCGGGTATCACTGAGGAACGTGTAGCAGCAGCCACCTGCTTCTTGCAGCAGCCTCTCAGATGCAGAAGTAGCATCAGACAACTTTACATAGAAATTTAAAAAAAAAAATCACAAGACAGACAGCAAACTACAAAAAACAGCAAAAAGGGCAGAGGGAGCTGAACCAGAGCTTTATTGTGATTAAATCACTATATACAATCTAAATTGCTTGATTTAATCCAGTTATTCACTAGAGCCAATCAAATACAATTGATGAGCATTTAGTTTCTTTTCAATATAAAAATGGCATCCGTATCCAACATCCAAGTGATGGGGACAGTAAGAGGTTAATGCTAGTAACCAAGAGTAAATTTATTTATTTATACATTTTCTCTTCAACTCTTTCTACCGGCAGTACAATTTTTCATTAAAAATGGGCTAAGCAATCTGGCTCACACAGGTAGGCATTACATTGTCCTTACTGGAACACACCACTGGAAAGCACTGTTTTTTTAAGTGCTGTTATTTTCTTCACACTTCAGTTTGCTTGCTGCATTAGAATCTGTAAAATACAAATATTCCAACAACAAAAAAAATATTTTAGTGGCATATTTAGTAATTATTTATTATTATAGGTATTTCAGTGAAAAGCTAGAGAGAACAAAATGGCAAAGAACTGCAGTGCTAAAGGTTTGTCTGCCCTGGACAGGGGAGCTGATGTACCTTGAAACCGTGCTGTTCCCAGTTCCAACAGAAGGGGATAAGGCAGCCATCCCCTTCCTGCTCCCCAAAACACTCTGCTTGCATTACTTTACAGGGCTGTACTGGAATAAAACAGCACGTACCATTTATTAGGATGAGGGCACAGTGCCTTCGCAACTTTGTGGTAGCTTGCATTCAAGCATATACATGGGCTGTGGAAGGACCCATCATTTCACCACTCAACTCAAAATACTACTGAAAAAACCCTACTGATACTGTTTTGACACCTAAACTCCCATTAGCAGCAATTTCCCATCTCCACCACAAGAGTTGGATTTCTAGGAGGCTGAAGGCAAAAGTGAGTTTTAGGGAGAAAATTTATCTAACATTATAAGTTAATAGAAATGTTAAGAATTAAAAGTTCCCAGGCATTACCAAGCTCTTACATTTTTATTTTTGTAGATTTTGTTCTTCTGTCTCAGCAAAGCGTAAGTGTTTTTCTTTCTGGGGGTCACTTACAGTGATTGCTGCTGTGTTTAGGCTGCAAAACATGCAGGGAAACGTTCCTATCTTTACTTTAAAGATGGGTGTCTGTTTCTGAATTTTAGCAACAGTTTAAGTTCAGACTTCAGAAGGTGCTAAATTCCTTAAAATCCACGTGGATTTGAAGAGCATGGCTCATTGCGTTTTATGGAGCCTATATAATAGCTCAAAGAGTGCCCAAAGGGGACGATCTTGCTCCCTCCCACACAAGCCTGCTCCCTGCAACTTGCAAAGGGGAAGGAGGAACAGGACAGTTTTCTGCTATCATAAGGAGTTAAATCAACTTCTGTGATCCCTTTTAAGTACAATCCAGCCTGAAATCACTTGTGCGCTCCCATGCAGTGGATGTTGCAGTACGGAGGTATTCTGCCTATCAGTTTGCAGATTACTTCCATGACACAAACATCAACTTTGAAGTCTAAATATACTTCTGTGTGCGGAAAGTCCCAACACATTCCTCCTAGCCTTAAGAGAAGCTTAAGAACAACATTAAGACATTTTATTAGAATACCACTGTCTGATGACTTTTAAAACTTAAGAAACAATCAGAGGTTAATAAAGAAAAGGGTAAGAGGTATTCCATATTAGAGCAAAAGACAAATACGGGTAGGAGGGTAGGTTGGGGTATCAGTGCTTACTGGTTTCAGCCTGCTGTCCCGCACCTACTGGCACCCAAGGGTGAAGACAGCCTGGCTTCCCTTCCAGTGTTACTGCACAGCCAACTCCTGCCACCACTGGCTTCACCGTGCATCCTCAAAAGCAACTCAGAAGATGAGAGTTAGCTGCCCCATCTCCCAGGAAAGGTTTTCCTCCATCAGACTCGGTGATACACAGGTCTCTCAGTTTTTGAGACTGACCATTACAGTCTTAATTCAAGAATAATTGAGTTAAGCCGTGCAACAAATGCTATCTTCTTTTTAAAGGTGTTACAGATGCTTAACAACCCCTTAAAGTGAAACAAGGTCAAATATTCACTGCCCTAAGAAACACAGAAAGAGGGAGAAGTTAGCACACACAAGAAAACCAGGTGTATTTCCATCCTCTCCCAAGCATAGCAACTGGTGACTGACTTACATGGAAGGTTATTTATTACTAGTACCGCATACGGAAACAGTAGAGAGGTTTAAGAGCTTTTCTATTGGAAAGTACATCTTTAATGTTTTTCAAGTCATCTTTTCCCATCAGCTCAATTTACCTGAGCAACTTTAAGGACGAAGTCTCACAGAGCATGTAAGATGTGCTTTATGGCACAGAGGGCAACAGAATCTGGTCACAATCTATCTGGATGCCTCAAGTCCACCAGAAAACGTTATGCTGAATATAAACCATGTAACCTTTATGCTGTCATAAGAAATTCTACTTTAATTATTAAAATACTTTATAATAAAAACTTTCCTATAAATAATACGAGCACGCTAACCAGGAAGCCTTTAACTGCACATATTACACATTACTCAGAAGTAATCGTTATTTTCGTTTAATGCTTTGATGTTTATGTCACAAAAATCAGATTAGTAACTCTGCCCAGATCCTGTTAAAGCCCAAGCAAAGCATCAAAGCAGTTTTATTGTTTTTGTTAGATACTGTAAAGAGATTACACAGTGTCCATCTCTGACCATTCGCTGTAATTCCTTTATTTCCCTTCAGCCTTACATTTTTTCCATTAAGTCTCAAATGGAACAAGCGGCAGCTTTGGACTTTGATAAAAGGTCACATCTCATAACTTTGTACTTTATTCATCTCCTCAGCTAAAAGTTTTAGGAAAAAAAAAATAAAATAGCAGCTCGTTCTCAGCCATCTCCTAACACAAAGCCAATGATGGTGGTATTATTCCATGCAAGACTAGATTTTAGTCACCATTTCAGAAAGAAGTAAGAGGGAACTAACACAGCACCAGAAATACACAGACGCTGATGGAGGCCAGTGGTCCATAAAAACAAGCACTCAGTCACTGCTGGATGATGCAGCACTTGAGGTAAAGGCTTGAAACTTGACCGTAAAATTCCTGTGTTTGAAAAAAGCTATTAACCTAGCTGCTGCTGCTATTACTTGAATCGAGGAAGCAATCTTTAATTTTAGCTGAGGTGGTGCATTGAGGACAAGGGCAAGATTTACTTCCTACAATAAACTGCTCAGCAGAGCTTTCCCTCTACCCATTCTTTTACAAGGGAAAGTAAGGTTCAGCATTTCGATTATCTAGGTGGGCAACTTTAAGCATGAAGATTAGATGGTAAAGCGAGAACTGAACACGGGTCGTGATTATCAGTTGCCTCCCTTACCAACCCTTATGAACCTTTTGTACAGTATCTAACATAAAATTGATTGAAGTCTCCCAGGTTAAACCAATGAAGGGAACGTTAAGTTATATCAGAGCAGCACCCTCTGCGTGAGCTCATTCGAGTAACTACACATTGCAACATCTGATCAGAAACATTTTTATTTAGACTATTTTAGTAACAAATATGAAACACATAACCAAACTTCAGAGAATTTGCCAGCAAGCCGTCAGAGCAAGAAAAACAAAACCAAAAACACCCCACACAGTACTAGTGTTTTAAGTTTCAAATTCACTACAGCAAGATCATAAGAATTCAATTAAATTTCTACTGTGCTAAAAAAGTTTAAGAAATAATACAGAAAATATACATAAATTATGAACTAGAGTAGCAATAACTTGCCACTGACAAAGCAGATGTCCATCACCTTGACAGTTTAAAATTCAGTGCTCTTCTTGCAATGTAGACAGCAATGAAGCCTATAGTATATCACAGTGATTTGTGATCAAAGATTAAAGATAGCTTATATTATCTAAAACCTCAAATTTGCAACTCTTCATAGGAATAGCATCATATTTAACAGATAAATTTTAGACAAACTTGAGATACGTAATGTAAAGGTAGAAAATTCCATAAAAATTCTTCTGTGAGCACCTTTTAATGTGAAGCAAACCCATCAAAATAACAACCTTAACACGCTGGACTTTCAAAGACATGACCCCCAGGTGTCCCTAGCAGCCCTGTCTGAGATATAGCACAAGGTCACAGTGCAACAACAGCACAACATGAGCAGATGCTTAAAACTGAAAGCCCACCCAGCCCAGCCTTCTGTGTGACAGCACCTATAAATAAATACCTTGGGGAACAGTGTAAGAAGTGAACACACATGCAATTTTCCCTGGCTTCCACATAGCACAGAATGTAGTTTCTATTTAGCAAGACTCAATGGGTTAATTTAATAAAAATTCATCCACTATAACCCACGTAAAGTTTTAGCACCCACAATACCCTTTAGCAACGAGTTTGACACCTTGCTGCAAGAACCACAACTTGCTTGCAACTTGAACCTGGCTCCCATATCTTGCATGGCAAAAGTCAAAAGTTGCTTCTTACCCAATCCTCAGCTTAACTCTTGATTTTTAAGACTTATTACATATTCATCAGTCATCTTTTTCCACACAAGAGTCTTGACTCATTAAGGAGTTTTTTTTTTTCTTCAGAGCTGTTCCAAGTTTTTGACCATTGCTGTTGCCATCATCTGAGCTTTCAGCTCTACTGTATTTCTTGGCACGAGGAGAGGATTGTAGCATTCAGGATGTCACTGCAAGCTGGATTTACACAGTGCCATGGCAACCTTGTCTGGTTTCCTCTTTGTTCCTCTTCTAGTAATTCACAACAATTGCGTGTTGGATTCCCATCGCATGGTGGCATAACACCAAGATCTCACTTCTGAATGGTTATGGTCAGCTTTGATAAAATCTTCATGTCCTGTATCTGTCTCCTTGTCACACTGAGAGATCTAGGTCTTATGAGTTGTCTAGTTATTTTCTTCATAAAGTGGTTTGCGTTTTTTCACCTCCATTTTTTAGTAGCATCTTTTTGAATGAGATAGACTTTGGGATTGTATTTGATATTGTATTTGATTGTACACATTAGAAATGCTTAAATTTTCCTATAAAAAAAAAAATCAAAGTAGTCTACTCTCACCTAGCATTTATTTGAGCCTTTCTATATGATGACAAGTTTAGAGTAAGCACAACTAGTCCACAATACTGCTGTAACACAAGCAGACACTTCCACTGATCCTTAAATTATATGATTCAGCCCCTTTAAAAAAAAAGGGGTTAAAATATCCAGAGACAGAAGCATGGGCTTGATAAAGTTAGATTTACGTCTGTTTCTCTCAAAAAAAATAATATCTGGCAGCGATTTAAGTGGTAGCTGAACTTTATTTGTTGGCCAGCTCCTCCTCTCACTGCAATAAACCCTGTTTCTACATAAGTAGTTTATATTTTAATTAAAAAAAATAATCACACACAGCCCCAAGCTTCATCATCTAGCCAGTGCAGCAGTTCACTGGAAGTCAATCCATTCAGAGATTGATGTACTTTTGTAGACAGAGTCCATGCAGATTTTTTGACAAACTGCACAAACTCATTCACAAACAAGCTCACCGTATTTTGTTATAAAACCCAGACTACTACCACAAAACAACTGCACAGCAGCAGCTTGCTACTTGTGAACTACTCTCAGCAGAGTGCCTTTACACCAGCCACACTGCACCAGTAACTCCGGGTACAGAAGGCTTCAGAAGAGCTCATACAGAAACAAGATTAATCTGGGAAACACATTTTCAAATGAGATGACATGTAAAAACCGTACATTTATGCTCACAGACGTGATTAGTTGCAATCATTAACATTACCCACATATCTCACATTTATGTTGCTTACAGATGGGCTATCTACATGTCTTATCACATACTGGTACATTACATTTGTGGGATAAGCTATAGCAGCACCACCATCTGTTTTCATTTCATGCCTTGGGTCTATAGCAGTACAGGAGTTTAGGGACAAGGGGAGATGGAGTGAATCACTTTGCAGGAAAGTGAAGGGATTCACCTGGAAGAGCATACAGGTAGGTTAGCAGTTCAGAAGCACAGGGTGCTGCACTCCAATGTGCAACAAAGAGGAACAGATCAGGTTCTACATTAATCCCATAGGTTGCTCCCCAGGCAAGCAATCAAACCACTCATTTTCATTAAAGATGCCACTTGCCAATGCCTGGCTCCCCAGCAGAAGCAGAGCCTGGACAAGAGCAAAGTCATTGAGGATCTGTCCTCTGGTACAGAGTTTAACAGATAGAAAGTATGTGGCTTGGGGGTGGGGAGGCTGCAGTCAAGCTCTTGCTTGTTTTCTGCCTTCTGGAAGAGTTCCTGCATAGCCAGAAGAGCTTTAAAGGACAATTAAAGATTTCTGAGAAATGCAGTGAAGAAGCAGGTGAACAGAGCCGTTCTCTCCCACCTTCTGAAACGGAGACATGAAAAATACCTCCATCACCCTTTCTGAGAACTGCTGTGTCTGAACACTAGTTAGAAACACAAAAAACAACACATATACAATACCACAGGAAACAAAAAAGCCCCGCAGGCTGCAACACAGCATGCAGACATCTGAGCTCGTGCTAAACCCACAGCTTGCACTAGAAGCTGTCAGTGCACAGCACCTCAAGCTTAGGTGAGCTGCTTACATTAACCACCGTGCCCAGCACACTGCAGTTCCCAGGACCCAGATCGGCTCTCTGCCACCATGAGAATCTCATTTTCCTTCCAAGATTAGTCTGGCTCTTAATGTCATTCTTACCATTGATCAGTGCCACACATCCCAAAAGGGCAGCACTGTTCTTTATTTTGCAGCCATGCATTCATTAGCCAAGCCTCAAACAGAGAAGACTCAGCGTTGTACAACAGCAGGTAATTGGTCTTATTAAAAAAAAAAAAAAAGTCAATTCAGTCAGGATCCTGGCTTAAACATTTGAGAAGTCTGGGGGGAGCAGACTAAGATCATTTCCAACAGACATTTGCCGTATTTAACTCTGAAGATCATATTTATACAGATTTTGAACTGAAGCATTTCCTACAGGAATTAGTAACTGCTCATCTTTAACCTGATCCTTTAATATGGAGTGCTCCCTATACACAATTTTGCAGTTGAGGCCCTCATGCACCTCAGGAACTTTTGCTAAGAACACTAAAAATAGATTACTTGATAAGATTGAAAGAGTTACATAAATCAGTAATTTAAAACAGCCTCATCTTGTTTACTTACAACTTAAGCTGAGGATATGCAAGTTACCTAACTTTTTTGGTTTGGTCAGATGCTTGCACTGAATGACTGGATGTGCACAACAGGAACTGAATGTAGTGGATAAAGGTGGTGCACTTAATCAAAATAAAAACTTTACCAAAAATAAAACATGTATTTTAACTCCTGAGAAACATTAGTTTTAAGGAGATGGGTCCTGTGCTGACACATAGGACAAATTCCCCTCTAAAAATTACACAGCAGCTATGTACAGGAACAACTGTTCTTCCCACCTTGTATCAGGTATTTCTTCATGTATTTCATGCAACCACCTTGGAGCAACAAGTTACTGTCACTTTTTGTATTGAGGCCTCTACAGGAGGAAGGAAAACTATGAATTTACATTCAATCCAAAAAACGTGTATTGAATAATTGTTAAAGACTGTGCATCAGTTCTTAAACAAAACAGGTATGAATATGTAATGCCACGGAGCAAGCTCTATACTTGCAATAGTGATAGAATTAATTTTCTCATCAGTTCCTAGAATACTTACTATATGGATAGCACATTTCAGAACAGTTTCTTAGAGATTCAGAGTTTAAAGGCAGGGCACTGCTTTACCCACAGCGCACAAAAGATTTGCAAATACTCAAAGCAAACATGATTTTTCAGTCTTCCCTCAAAAAAAAAAAAAAAAAGTGTTTAAAATAAGATTTTTAATACTTGGCACATTTAACATACAAACAAAATGCATGCTTGGCATCCAAGTACTCAATATTTCTTTAGTCTTTAAAACATACTGAAATGAACATATACATCATGCCCAGCACATCAGCAAAACGTAGTCACTTAGCAGTATGTTTTTCAGTGATGGATAGAATGAAGCTCCTTCGTTTTACCTCCCTTAGCTTTAGCCTCCAGATAATTTTTCTAACCCCTCTGCACAATATACATTCCCATTTCTTTAACAGCCAGGATGCTGTTTTGCACACAATAGCCTCCCGTCATTATACAGCCTTGATTCATCTCTTCAACATCAAAAATGCTGAGCAAAGACATAGGAGTCTTGTTTAAAGATGTGCTAAATATTGCTGCGGTCTTATCAGATACACGGTGAAGCTTAGCATGAGCTGAGAAGCCTGGCTACACAAACACCTGCCTAATCAACTACAACATTATTTGCAAGCTAACTAGAAAATTAATTTTACTAACCAGCGCAAGAATCAAAAGAAAAATGCAATAATGAATCAGGCCTTTTTAATGAATAAAAGAAATCATGATTTAAAGATCAGACCTCTACAATAAGATATCGTAGCATATCTAATGGTGCTCTGAGACACTGCAAATTTTATTGCAGAACTTAAGACTGATGGAATGACAAGGGCAGTTCAATGATGTTAGAAACGTCTCTAGACAATACAGTGACATAACTGCAGTGACAATGCAATTATATTCAAGTAACTGGGAACAAAAAACAACCAAGCGAGGATTAAGAACCTAAATGACTTCTCCACTCATTCAGTTAGGCAGCCTTTATTTCTTTTGAAGACACTTTATCTGAAGGCTCCTTAAATACTTGTCTTTACGATAAGTTTACTGATGCACACCCATTCACTTGGTAAACATTTACGCAGTTACAGTTTGCATCAGTTGTCCAGAATATTTTCCAGGGAAAGCATTATTTCACTTTTCTTGCTCCTGAATTCAGTTAGACTGACTTCTTGACCGTGACAATCCCTTAATGCAAGCACCTCCTAATACACTTCTACACAGAAGAGCTGAACTAATCCCACATCCAGTCACCTGCTCTCATGATCACACCAGCACTCCTGCAAATATTACAGTAATCTACTTCCCCCCCTTCTCCCAAGCTAGGTACAGCATCAAAGAGAGATACATTTGTGAACATTTTAACAGGAATGCACTTTTACAGCTACCTTCATCTTTGACAGCAGCCTACCAAATCTTACATATTTATTCTTCAGGGTCTGAAATGTGAGAAATTTTCAAATTTTTCTAAATTAAATGAAAAGAACCACCTCATTCTGCCACCTCACTTTAATGTGTTCTCTACACTGACACATCCAGAAGCATGAAGGCTTGCCCTGTCATTCCATTGCTTTGGACCAGGGAGGTGATTGTTGCTCTGTACTCAGCAGAGTGGGGCCACACCTTGAGTACTGTGTTCACCTTTGGGCCCCTCACTACAAGAAGGACATCAAGGCCCTGAAGCGTGTCCAGAGAAGGGCTACGAAGCTGGTGAGGGGCTTGGAGCACAAGTCCTGTGAGGAGCGGCTGAGGGAGCTGGGGGTGTTTGGTCTGGAGAAGAGGAGGCTCAGGGGAGACCTCCTTGTACTTTACAGTTACCATAAAGGAGGTTGCAGCAGGTCTCTTCTCCCAAGCAAGAATAGATACAGGAAGAAATGGCCTCAATGAGAGGTTCAGTTTGGATATTAGCAAAGATTTCTTCACTGAACGGGTTGTGCAGCATTGGAGCACACTGTGCAGTGGTTGAGTCACCATCCCCGGAGGTATTCAGATGTGTAATGTGGTGCTTAGGGACATGGCTTTGTGGTAGACCTGGCCGTGCTAGGTTAATGGTTGGACTTGATGATCTTGGAGGTCTTTTCCAACCTAAATGATTCTGTGATTTACAACCTTTTCACCAATAGAAAAATGGACAGGCAGATAACTGATCCAGCAGGCCTGGGGCCAACCTACAAGCCTGAAGCCTTGTCAAAGGCCCCATCCACCACACCACAATTCTGCTATGGTGGATTTTTTTGTTTAATAGCTCATTACACCAGCAATAAAACAGACTTCAGAACAAATGCAGCAATGTTTCTTGGGAGGATCTGAGGCTGCTGACAAATATTGTAAAGCTTTTGAAATGCCTAGTTGTTTTTTTTGTGTGTGTGTGTGTGTATATGGAACCCTAGGAAATGTAACGCGGTGGACTACATACTCACGTAACACTGATGTTTCAGCCCTTATTGTGCTTGACATAGGGAAGAACTATGTCATGAGGATACCAGATACCTGATCTTTTGAGTATTAAAACAGATTTTTAAATGAAATACTAATATTTAGAACATTCATTTTAACACATACAGAAATATGAAGACCCAGACTCAGTGTCCATAGTTAAATTTAATCAAAATACACTATTAGCACCTGGAAGTCTTCCAGGAGCCTTCTGTGTCCTTGGCCATCTGCCAAGACAGCTGATTACATTTTAAGTCTGCTGAAATTACAAGGTTGTATTTGAATACACTATTCTCCACTTTTGGTAAGGTATTTACAGGTTTTTTTGTCACACATATAAAAAGTAGCTACCTCACTACCAATGTTACATTTGCACTTTACCAACACAACCAGACATACTTGGTGTCACCTAGATTTCAGATATGTTTGGTTCATTTAGCAAAGCAGTTACTAACCATTACACTTCAAGTTTCTTCAGCCATAGGAAAGCAAGGAACTAGTGACAGCTTACATGAACAAACCATAGCTAGCACCAAGATTTGAATCCATGTATGAAACATGATCTACAGAGACAAAACTAAAGTTCAGGTATTGGCCAGTGCTTTCTATAAGTATGTTGGAGCCAAGCATCAAAATTCCTGGTTCAAAAACCTCACTCAGGTTCACTGCTAAGCACAGTCAGGGTGTGCAGCAGCAGATAGCTCTTACAATAGCATTGTGTGGAAAATGCTGAAAGGGGTAGGAAGCATGGAAAGCAATCACAATGATAAAGTCTTTACAATATATCATCAAAATGAGCTGAGGTAGCTTGTCCATGTCCCAAGAATACTGGGGAGTATTACACCTCCTAAGAATATCTGCATATGCATGCAGTCACAATTCTTTCTGGATACCTTCAGACAACAGTATTATTTATTTAAGATATCAGAGAATATCCAGGATACAAAATATTATAAAGTTAGACAGTCATGATTCATATAGCTCTTATAAGAACAGTAGAAAAGTTAGCAGAAACAAACAAACAAAACAAAACAACAACAACAAAAACCAGCACCCTGGTCCTGAATAGTTTAGAAGTATTCAATGCACAAGACTTATTCAGAGTTACTTCAGCTCTGAAGATTCCTCAGGCCCAAAGTAGGGCTTGCTGTCACTAAAAAAGGAAGAGCTAGAACACTTGCACAAAGCAGATGCATCATAACTCATGCACAGCCTGAAATCTGGTGTTGAAAGCACACTAGCACCTTAAGTATTGCCAAGTATCAGATCTGACGTATGGAAGCCTAAGAGAGTAAGAAATTGAAAATGCTCATCGTCAGACCAATTCATCATCATCAGAACGACAAACTCAGAAGACTTTACCATACAGCACAGTGCTACAGAGTTCATTTTGTTCATCCACTGCTCTGGCTGTAGCTCCACAGCCGTCTAAGCCAGCATGAGCGCTGGATCCAGCACTCCTACCCCCTGGCATTTGACGTGCCTTTTGTTGAGCTCGGTTAGCGGAGACTGACCTGAGCAGCAGCCAGCAGTTAGATCAGCTTAGGCTGTGGTTTTGCAGCCTTTTGCTTCATGGCTGAGCTGAATTACACAGCTTGCCACTTGGCAAGTGGGAGCAGCCTCACTTCCCCTGCCCCCCTCTCCACTAACCCCATTTCATAAGAAGGCAAGCTGGTCCCATCTATGATCCCAGGAAAAGTGAGAAGGAAAAAAAAAAAAAGGCAAACCCAGACTTTTTGCCAGATTAGTTTCTGGTCTTTTAGCAAGCTGAATTGATTTACTGGATGATCAGACAAATACTAGAGCCAGCATAAACTAAGCAGGAGGCACTGGGCCTCCTGTTATTAAAACCAGATGCAGCTGGGAAGGGCTTGACCGGAATCATTCATCCCTTTACCTTATACCACAGGTAGTGCTGCTGATCGGATGTGACTTGTACTGACTAGATGTAGTTTAGTACAAAGACTGCCTAAGAAAAGGCTAGCTACAAACAGCTCTCTCGGGAGAGAAGTCTCTTGAATTTGAAGCATGTCTTCTGTTGGAGTGGCAGAGAGAAGAGATTTAAGAGAGTCTCAAAAATACCTCTTAAAATGTTGTGTTGGACAGCAATCGAGAAAGCTTTCAGTAAGCTAGTTACCTCTCATGAAGCACATGGTAATGCATGGCAACTTCATAGAAAATTGTCATTTCAAGCAGAGTCCTCTTACATTTTTTGCCCATGTAAATTACACATGCTTGCTTGAGACAACTATAAAGTAATACCGCTATGAGATTTTTCAAGTACAATATGAGTGAGGTTAAAATCTCAATAAACAAGGCTGAAGGGACACACGACTCTGAGCCAAGCACCTTCTCCCCTTGTGAGGGGGACAGACCAGACTCCAGCCACTCCTTGCAGCCCATGGGGGCAATCCTGCCCCTGCCTTGGGCACTGCTACTTGCCAGACCCCACCAGAAATAATTACTTGTTTTCCTAAAAGTAACTCCTCCTTCCCAAAAGGTTTTTTTCCTGCTGAATTAGTTAACAAGCCAAGCTAACAGTAAGGTTAGGGTTGGAAAAAATTGGGCTAAGAGCAACAACTCTTGCTGCTGGTAGGAGGTAAAAGTGAAGCAACATATCACAGCTGAACCACAAGTTAAAGTTACCCACTCCAAGACTCCCATATGCACTCAGATTCTCACAGCACACGTAGATGCAAATTATTTGTTGGTCTGGCAAATTGCTCCTTGGCGTATGCATAAACTGTCCTCACAGGAGGGATTTACTAAGACAGTCACAGACAGGAAGGGGACAGGCACAGAAATGAGTGCAATGCACATTCAAAACTAGAAGACGAGAGATCCTATAAGCATGGAGAAAGTACACTGTTCCTTTTCTGTACTGAAGACCTCCTTACATGACTGTCAGGAAGAAGTCTCATATCAGAAGACTAATCGAAAAAATAGAAGCATTTTCCAATTTCTGCACAAAGATGCTGGAGAACAGGCAAAGGTTTCTGTACTACTTGCTGAAAAAAAAAAAAAAAAAAAAAAAAAGGCCCAAAGCATTAAATGCCAAATTCTAAGATGGATGAAGTCTAACACATTAACTTCTAGGTTCAACAATAGCCTTAGGCTTGGTGTTGGTGTCTCTCGCTGGTACAAACAGAAGTGTTTCCAAGATCCAAAAAAAGTTACTATGGATTTGGACTGTCTGTACTCCAGTTTAAAAATAAGAGACTGCACCTCCATTTCCTCCACATTTTAGTTTGGTTGGCATTTGCAGCGAAGAAAAAACCTTCTGCAGAAAGGAGAAACACAGCCCAACTCTCAGCATGTTCTCCCGCCCACTAATTGCTACCACCAGTGCTTAAAAAGGCCACGAGGAGAATTAAGTAATTTTGGTAGTTATTTTAGATTAAAGCAACTCACATCACATCCTTGTCCTCCCTGCTCCCCCCACACAAAGTTAATTTTCCGTGGGGCACCGCTGAGGTGACAGCGCTGGGTTTTAGTTGGTGCCACCCCTCTCTTCTCACTTTGTCTCACCAGGACAACGAAACCATGCTTTTATTGCACATCTCCACCAGAAATTAGAGAAGCACAACTGTCCCAAAACACAAGGCCCCAAACGCAGGACCTCCACACCCTAGGTTATGCCCTGTACCCTTCCCAACAGGGGCAGGGGAGATGCAGTGCCAGCTTTAAGCAGCTGGAAGTCTCTTGGAGCAAAGTGATTGCACTGCAGCTTTACTGGCTTCAGGTTAGGTTATTTTGTGCTTCCTGAACTTAAGCACTCCTTGGAGGAAAAAAAAAGATAAATAATTGAAGCAGTTCATTAGTAAATCACCATGCAAAGTTAACAAGATTAATTAAATGCCTTCAGTTTCACAGCGCTGGAGTTAAATGACAAGGAAAATGTCACTGTTATGTAAATTGTTTATATTCACACAGGAAATATTTTATATTTCCAATAAAGCAACGCAACTATTCTGCAATCATAGCCTGGATAGTTAAAGATGATTAACGATGCTGTGGAGAATTTGTATTGTTAGCTTAGCTCGGCTTTGATGCAAACTTTAATCCAAAAACTCGAGACATCCACCTAAAGCATCTAATTAATCACCTCGTACACTTCAGAGTGGATTTCACTGCCCTGAACCCGAGCCAGTGTGACCTGCCTAGGTGGGGAGATCTCACTGGGTTTGGTTGCTTATCTAGCACAGTGTCATCTAACACACCTTTCCTTTCCAGCACAGCTGCAGAGCTGCCTGCTCGGAGAGGGGCAAATATATGTAAATAGACTGGATCAAGGCTTCAGGAAACACGAAGTGGTAGGTTAATCAGGCAGAAAATCAGCTGTTCTGTCCTGGAAGGCACAGCAAAATTCAACAATACCAATCTTTTGACTAGTCCGTTTCTAAAAAAGAAGAAAGAAAATTGCAAGCTGCCCTCAGTTATGCAGTGGCAGTGCTGTGACTCACAGCACATTGTTTATTTTATGCTCAAGGAGTCTAAAAGCCGAGCGTTTCTGTTCCTGGTTTGTCAGGCTTGCTGTAAAAAAAATAAATACATCTCTCAAGCCTCAGTTGTGAAGAGCCACTGCAGTGACAGCTCCCAAACCATGTCCAACATGAGAGGTGAGACTTTATGCTCCTCTCCACCCTACCCTGAGCTCTAGGCTGCTGTATATATCCAAAAACTTGGCCAATACTGGCAGTAGTTTTAAAAACACTTCTCTCACAGAAGCCTGATCAAGAAGTTTGGCACAAATCGTTCCAACAGACTATGGCACAACTGCATCAACAGCTCTAGGGCAGGTTTAGCCTTCCCGAACTGAAGGCATTTCAGCAAGCAAGAGATCATTTTCATCAACTAAGTATATAAGGTTACAGCCTATATATAACTAACCTATATGGTTACAGCCTGTAGAACTTTAAATAAAACATTTGGCACATCAAGCACACAAGGAGAGGGAAAAAAATGACTACCTGGGCATATGCCATCAGCCCACATTTGAGCCTGGTAAGAAAAATGGGGTGTACCAGAAGCACAGCACAAAGCTCTGGATATTCGCTGTGGTACCTGGAAAGTGAGATACAAGATCAAGCTTCATTCTGAGGCAAACTTTTTCTGTTCAGTGAAATGGGATTATAAAAATGAGAAAGTTTTCATCAGCATTTCATAAATACGTGAGTTAGCAGAGAAATAGTGGAGGAAGTTTGTGTCAGGAGACTTGCATGCTTGGGGTGTGAGTATTATGGACTGATCAGCCTCTAATGAGTGTGTCAATCCCAACACAAATGAAATGCAAGATAGAAAGCTGTGGGAGAAGGCAGCTGTGGCAGAATCTTGATTATCAAGTCCATCTTTTGTAGGATCTCTGCCTAACCTTCAAAAGTTCATATTGTCATTTATGGAATACCCAAACAGACTTTCTACAAGTCCAGAAACATGCTTTTTGGACAAGTAAATTGCAGAGTTACAGTAAGGTTTTTCCCCTTTCCCTAAGTTTACAGGCCCAGCGCACTTTAACAGTTTAAATGACTTTTTCCATGAGTCAAACAAGACTTCCATTTCTAACAGCACATTTTCCCTCTTCACTTGTTAAGATTAGATCCTAGATGTTATTTCCTTATACACTTTGCCTGATTACCAGTGCTGTTCTTGGGATGGCAAGGTTCTTGAGGGATCTTTACAATAGCACATGTGAAACTCTTAAAGCTTTCTTCAAAGTACTTGGAGAATGAAGCTGCCAAGACTTCAACATACTTTGAGAAATGGACATAAAATAAATTAAGTTAGGGTTCAATTCCTTAGTCTATCAAATAAAGGAGAAGACCAAACAGCTGGCAGGAATCTGACAAGCCAATTTTGAGCTCAGACAAACTTGTCAGCTAGGAAGGTAATGGTAAATAATGGAGAACGTGTAGCTTGATGCTTTACTAACTCAGTCCTGTTACTTGTTCCACCTACCCAAAGGTGTAGTATTAAATTTCTTCTGAGTGACCAACTAGCATCAGCATTTGAATTGATTTTCAGCAACAGGGAAGTTGTAGCAGTGAAAAAAAACTTGTCCAGGTGAGTAGTTATACAACTTTCATCTTGAAAAATATGCAACCAAAACTATATCCTTCCTTTAAAGAGCCTATGTTGGTATTTTTGTGCTTGCCATGTCAGAAACGAATTAGATTAGTCTCCCAAGTTAACTCTTTTCAAATAATTTGATCTGCAAATCCACCATATCTACTAAACACAGGTGACTGCTGTACCTGGGGGGCAAAAAAAAGTCCTAGCAAGTGACAGAAAAGGAAAAAAAATCCTTCCGATTCCAATCAGGAAAAAGGCATAGAGCACTCCAAGATTCAAGGGTTTGATACTGTTTTGCTTTGACATGCAGCAGTGGAGCACTGAAGAGGGAAGAGTGCAGGACTGCTAGCCAAGAGACATCTGAACCCTATTAACATCCCCAAGCCAACACAGCCTGAGGGCATAGCTCATTCCAGTGAAATAACCAGCTACAACTGCCTGCAGCTGTAGGTAGGAAAGAGAAAGCAGCATTGTTGAATCAGCTGAAGACCAAAATAACAGCTGGGGAAACTGCTACATCAGGAACTCGGGCACCTATAGCAATGGGCAAAGGCTTCTGAGAACAGGGGTCACGAGGCTTTGTGTGTGTGTGTGTTAACAGACCAAGATTTTGTTCCTGGAAATTATTTTCCCCCCAGTTTATAGAAGACGAGCAGTAATATCCAGAAAGCTTTTTTTTTGTTAATTCAGGTCCCATCCACTGTGCAAGAGCAGCAGGCAGGCTTGCTTATCGCGGATAGCAAGTGCAGCATGAGTCAGACCAAAAACTCACCGATACGATCATTCTGCTCAGGCCCAGAAAGCACAGCTAGGCCAGAGAATCTCTTCAGCTCTCCCCCAGCCTTACCATCACCAGAGGGGGAAAAAATAAGCGAGCATCAGGAGCTGCAAGGCCCCATCCACAGGAGCCACCAGCTGCTGCCCCTCGGCCCCGTGAGTCATCTCTTCGGCCTCCATGGGAAGTCTGTGGTGGCTGAGGAGGAGGAGGAGGCCACGTATGGGCTTTTCCAGTGAAGTCAGCGTATTTTTGGCCGCTATCTTTCCCAGAAATACGACCAAGTCTTTTGAATAGCCAACTGAGAATAGGTTTAATAAGGACTTCCTCTTAGAAGCCTTACCGTAAAAATTTAATTTCAAGTGCAAGCTTTGAAATGCTGTCACTTCTTGTAGCAGACAGTCTATACATCTTACACATTGAGAACTGATTTGCATACCATCTTAAAAACTGAAGTTGTACATCTTTATATAGGCTTCTTAAGCAAGTCTGGAACAGATGACAGGATTTGCTTTCACAATCAGGAAAGGCACAGAAAACCCCTAGAAACAGAACAGCAAATGACAAGCAGAAACTCCAGAAAAGGAATTTACCTGGACAGGATCTGAGTGATTTTTTTTTTTTTAATATATATATCATTTGCAGAAGGAAAATCACACAATACTTCACGAAAAAGGGGATATTTATTAATGAGTCATAAGTTTCAGAACCAATAGCCTGAATGCAAGCGTTTGTTCTGCTGTTCTCAAAATTATACAGAAGCCAAGAAGTAGCCTTGCTCACCATTAGGCTTTTACAAAAAAGGATTTATTAGGATCACAACTTCAAAGTCTTAAAAAAAAAAAAAAAAGTCCGATTCTTCATCCAATTGCCCTCTCAGTTTTTGTTATTTTACAGTTTGGTCTTTCAGAACTGGCTGAAGATTTAGCCCAAAATACAGAAAGTTAAAAGACTGAAGCAAGAAGCTTATAATTTAGCAACCCTGCTTTTGTTATGCAAATCTACTGATTTTTGCTCAGCTACATGCAACTATACTACGTCCGATTTGCACACTATGAAGTGCCCTGACAGTTGCATACCTAATGAACAGTCTGAGCTCCTCTAGGAAGTTTTCTGTCATCATTCCCCAGGACCCAACCCATGAGCAGGGCCATGCTACAGCAGAATACCAATAAATCCCCTCTAACCACAGACAGCTTGCAGCACTGGGAGAGAAAAACAGTATGCAGAGCAAATAAGAAACACAGCCAGTAGCTAAACAACGTTTGGGTACCTAAATGATCTAGCAGGGATCTACAATGTGCTGGGCAACACGATCAAAGCAAGAACTCAACTCTGCAGAACAGCTTTGAGCCTACCTCGCACCAGGACATGCCTCCCGCAGACGAAGGGCACCACAGCATAATTGCTAGTTTGGTAACAGAATTAGTGAGGCTTGGCACCAAGCTAATCAGATATTGCTCGGTTTCAGCTCGGTATAATAAAATTCTTATTAAGCTGTTTTCTTCTGACTGGTCTCATGCTAACCAAGTTGGATATTTTCCTCTCTCCCCTCCAGAAAAAGTCACTGACTGCTATAACCACAGGCTTGGTATTCTACAGCAGAACCTTTAAGGCAGGACTCAAGAAACATCATTTAGGTGGTCTTCCAAAGGCTGTCGCTTACTTTTAAGAAAAACTTCAAAAGGTGCAGCCCCTACAAAGCCACTGCAACTGTTCTGAAGGTGTTCATCTTCTACCCAGAAATGCAAACTAAGAAGTTAAATGTTTTAGCATCTTCCTCAAGGCCATTGTGGAAGAGATGACAGGAAACTGGCAGGTATAGCAGGCAGCTGTGCCTCGTACAAAATACGTGTCTATTTCAAAAGGTTAAAATAATTGGAAAGGCCTCCGCTCTAAGAGCTCTCATTTTTTTTTATTTTTTATTTTTACAAGGGGCAACAGTTCAACTCCAGATGTGAAATCAAACTGCCAACACGAAACCCCTCATCAGCTGAAGAGCACAAACCAGAGCTAACACAGTCCCTCTAACTGTCCTACGCAGCCATAAAAATGTACCTTGTAGCACATCATGCCAGCCTCTTCCTTCCCCTAAATTTTGCATCTCCCCAGAAGAAGTCACCACTGGATCAGTTTAGTACCAGAAAAGGAGAGGAAACAAGCCCAACAGCCCTCACTTTGGCCGGCTCAAGTGTTACAGAGGTTGTGGTGTGACTAACCTTATGCTAGTACAAATTGGCACTTCCTTGCAAAGGTGTTTTTCCCCACCATCTCTGCTTTTCCCCATTTTTTGTGCTGGCACAGCCATCTGCGATCCTGGATGATGAACTCCAGCAAGCTGCGGTCCATCCAAAAATTCAGAGCATATTAGTTCTGCTGGATTATTAGTTTGGGGCTGGGTAATTACTGATCAGGAAAAGGAGATACAGCTGAGCTTGTTAACCAGAAAGACTGGAATGGCAAAGACTCGATAAGATGCAAACACAGAACAGCAGACCTGTAAGAGGTGGTACAGCACATAACTGGGACACCAGAGGGTCACCGGGAAAGTGAGGGATTAAACCAGTTAGCACAGGTGGCAGCAAGGTGGTTCTGCAATCCCAGCCTCACCGAGCAGCTCCATAGGCTTTCTAATAATGCCACAGAGGGAAATTTGCTTCTTTTCCTGCTTTTTTTTTTTCTTAGAATCCAAAAGGACCACGCATATACTCACAGCCACATTCACGATATTAAGGTTGCCTTGGGAACTTAAAATGCACTCAAAAGAGCTGGATTAGTCTAATTACCTTGTCTCCGTACACGAGGTGGTAGTTCACCAAGTCTGATGAAAATAAGTACTCTAAAAGGTGCATGGCCGTATGTATTTGTACTGCAAGCGATTCAGACCTGTTCTTTGAAGATAAAGCTAATGTTTTCTTTTCAGTTTGTGAGATCCATCACTGCAGCATTCAGCTACTTCAAACAATTTTCACAACATCGCTATCGAGCTATCTCAGCACAAAACTAATTAACTTGTTGTAGAACCCGGGCTCTACAGGAGGATCATAGAACAGATGTTCCCATAGCGAGCCACATACCCGAGGTTACCATCCCAACAATTCAAACCC